GCCCCGAGTCCTTCTCCCCAGGACTGCTCCATCCAATCTCCCCAAACCTGCAGCTGTGCCTGGGACTGCCCCAACCCATGTGCAGGACCTCACACTTGCCCTTGTTGAACCTCATGAGGCTGACACGGTCCCATCTCTACAGCCTGCCCAGGTCACTGTGGATCCCATCCCTTCCCTCCAGCACGTCGACTGCACCACCCAGCTCGGTGCCATCAGCACCTGAGGGTCCCCTTGATCCTGCTGTCCATGTCATCAGCAAAGACATTCAACAGTGCTGGTTCCAACTCTGATCCATGAGGAATACCACTCACTGACTCACCACTGCCATTCTCCCCCAGCTTCCCCTCCAAAACACGGCTCTACTGTTTAACCAAACACCCACAGCCTCTCCCAAAATACATCCCTTGAGAGCCAGAAAAATCAGTCTTTGGATCAAAATCTGTCTATAGAACCCTGTAAGGTCTGCAAAGGAAGCTGTGGGAAACAGGGGGGGATTTTCCCAGCAGGATAAACAATGCTGCATTCTTTGCTGGGAAAGCTCTGCAATGGGACCTGAGAAACCGGGATGGTTCAGTGGCCTGAAAGGTTGTTTCTGGTAATCTGTAGGAGGCACTCTGCATGCGAGTGATGATCTGGCTGCTCCCTGCTTGGACCTGCCCCAGCTCCACACCCAACCTTTGCAAAGGAAGCAAAACCCCAAGAAAAGCAATGCCTCTGGAAAAACTCCCTGTTTTCTGTGCTTCCCTCTGTAAACCCCACGTTACGGCTTCCTTGGAGCACAAGAACACAAACGCAGCGCCCCACGTCCCCCCCAGCTGAGATCACCTTTGCACACTGAGTCCAAGCCTTAGAAATCCCAAATACCGGGCTCAAAACCCCTAAAGCGCACCCAAAACACCACCCTGGTTCCTTGTCACTACTCAGGCAAGGCCAGTTCCCATCTCTAGTGCCAAGATCCACCTCCTTCCCCAACCGAACAGGATGTGCCAAAACAGGGATGGATCCAGGGAGGGCAATTCCCAAACCAGGCCTTGCTGCTCCACCACACTATTGGCTGTTTAAAGCAGTGGCACTGTCCTAGCACACGTCACAGAACCCAATAAACCAGCACTGGTGCCTGAACTCACCCCTGTGCTGCAAGGAGTGGAGATTCCCAGAGGACCGAGGCTGTGGCCGAGATGGCTGTGGCTCTCCTTCAGAGTATTCCCCTTTCCCAGTGCTCAGGTCAGCCTCTATGCAGCCATCCTGGGCGGAATGGGATGAAAAGCTCTCTTTTAAACCCCAAACTCACGTGTTCAACGCACTGCGGTCCAATGTCACCGACCCACCCACGTCACCCCCAGTTTCACCTTGTCAGAGGGACCCGGGCACTGTTTCCCCTCCCAGCCCCACTGCTGGGTCTCTCATTACCCAGTGGATTATGGAGCAGCTTCGTTATGAGAACACCCACATCTGCTGCATGTGTTCATACAGCGACTACGCTCCCATGGAGCTTCAACACAAGCTCCATTGAGCTTCTAACGACATTAATCTCCCCAGGTACCCGCCACCCAAGCACCTATCCATTAAAAACCCCAAAACCTCCATAAATCAGGAAAAAACAGTGGTTTAAACACAGCCTTTTGATGCTGTCCCCATCCAGCCCTCCAAGCTCATGCTGAGAACATAGAAAGAAGGGGTTACTTTCTGCCTACCGGCATCTCCCTCCTTGCGTGTCAGCTCGGGGAACAGAGCAGCCCCACTCCTTTCAGTGTCTGCGAAGGGGAGCCTGTCCTCATTTCCAGTCACTGATCCTGCAAGGATTTCAGTTAGCACAGAGGTTAAGGGCTGGTCAGGACCCGGTGTGTCACTAAGTCACGCAATAGAGAAGGGCTCTGTCCGTGGTCAGCAGCGAAACCAGAAGGGGAGAGAAATGGTCACGAGTGATGAGAGGCAGCAAAAACCCACAGTGAGAAGGAACTGAGAGGGGACGCGAGGAAAGGGACGAGCAGGGACACTGCGGGCAGCCCCCCTTGAACACCCAGCCCTTGGTTCCCCATGGATGCACTGGTGCAGCTCCTGTCGCTGTGCCCACAGGTAACCGGAGCCCTGTGCTGCAGCAGGCAGGGAGCCAGGGCTGCTGCTGAGGAAACAGCCCATCTCTGCAGCATTTTAGGGCTAAATCCGTGTTTTCGCATGGAAAACCGGCCTCAGGAGGGCTGCCCCAGCTCTGGGAACCCAGCACAAGCTTCCGACGCAGAAAGGGGGTGAAGGGAAGGTGGCACACATCACCTGTGCCCGAGTGATGCCTGCAGAGGGCAGGTGCAGCCAGCACGGCCGCCAGCGGGGCAGAGACGATGCGGGCAGACGAGAAACCCTTTTCCCCTTGAGCTGCTGCGCTCTCCTGCTGCTGACACCCCCCATGCGGGCTCCGGGGGCCGGTGCTGTCAGCGCTACCCGTGCCCCGGGGGACAGCGGCTGCCCCACACGTGTGGGGCGCAGGCTTGGCCGCTCGCCTCGCCCCACGGCTCGCTGGGGGCACAGGTGTCCCCCACAGAGGGTGAGCCCCAGCCACCCCTGTGCCGGCCTGGGGAGGGGGGGTTCGGGGGTGCAGCCCGGGCGAGGACGAGCTGTCACGGCCCCCATCAAGTGCTAAAGGGGTGAGGGGGACTCCAACGCCGGCCCCGTCATGGAAACAGCGGTTCCGCACCGCGGTGTCCCCCAGAACGGCTTCTTCTGGGGGGCGGGACCCCCAAGCAGCGCCCAGGCCGCAGCCCTCTTCCCCTCAAAGCCCCCTAACCCCTCCTCCATGCCCCACAGCCGACCCACAGCCGACCCACAGGCCCCCCTCGCCCCCCCCCGCCGCTACCTGCCATGCCGGGCCCGGCGGCGCTCACCGTGACACGGATCAGACAAAGGGCGCCGCCATCTTGGCGCCGGGCGGAAGCGGCGTCGCCCTCCTCCTCCTCCCACCGGCGGCGCAGGCGCGGCTCGGTCACTGCGCATGCGTAGAAGGGCGCGGTGAGGCCGGTAATGGCGCCCTCCGTTGCCTCCGCTGCTACAGCCGGGCGCCGCCATGACAGCGCTGTGATGGCGGGCGGGTGTCTCCTGAGGAGCAGGGAGTGTTGCAGCCATGAGAGGAACCCGCTGAGGCGCCGTGAAGGGTTTGGGTTGGAAGGGACCTTAAAGCTCCTCCACCTCCCGCCCCTGCCACGGGCAGGGACCCCTTCCACTGGAGCAGCTTGCTCCAAGCCCCTGTGTCCAACCTGGCCTTGAGCACTGCCAGGGATGGGGCAGCCACAGCTTCTCTGGGCACCCTGTGCCAGCGCCTCAGCACCCTCACAGGGAAGAGCTTCTGCCTTATCTCCAACCTGAACTTCCCCTGTTTCAGTCTGAACCCATCACCCCTTGTCCTGTCACTACAGTCCCTGATGCAGAGCCCCTCTCCAGCATCCTTGTAGCCCCCTTCAGACACTGGAAGCTGCTCTGAGGTCTCCACGCAGCTTCTCTTCTCCAGGCTGAGCAGCCCCAGTGTTCTCAGCCTGGCTCCATACAGGAGCTGCTCCAGCCCCTGAGCATCCCGGTGGCCTCCTCCTCTTGCTGCCCCAGCTCCATGTCCTGATCCTGAGGACACCAGCACTGCACACAGTACCCCAGGTGAGGTCTCCCCAGAGCGCAGCAGAGGGGCAGGATCCCCTTCTTGGACCCGTTTCCATCACCTCCTATCCCTGTTTCTCCTTAGGGATGCATTCCCCGTGTTCTGCCCACAGCTGCTGCGGGGTCTGTGTGCGCCGGGCTCTGCTCTGTCCCCTCCCTGATCCCTGCTTCAGAGCCCCCCCCAGTGCAAAACCAGCTCCGGGGCGGGGTGGGGGGTGGAACCGGGAATTGTGCTCCCGTTTTCCCTGGAATTCCGTGGCCCGTCACCACTAGATGGCAATCTGTGACTGTACCAGCTCGCCCTGAGCGCGCAGGGGTGGCGTTTCAGGGCAGAGCAGACACATCCCATCAGCAAGGATGTACAACGGGACCTCTCCGCTGCTCCGTATCTCCGTGGGTCCAGTTCCCAGTGGGGTGCTTATAGCAGTTAAAGGGCTTTTTAGCAGCTTTTAACCGCTTTTCCTTGTCTCCCCCTGCAGCACAACGTGCCCCGGGCGAGGAGCAGCGCTGCGGACCCAGCACCCGAGGAGGTGATGGAGGAGCTGCTCCTGTCCCCCCGCATCCCCACGGGTGCTGCTGCAAGCCCCGAGCGGCGAAAGGGACAACCAGGGGCCAAGCTGACCTCAGAGCTGGAGCAGCAACCCGAGCTGGGCGCTCTGTGGTAGCTATAAACAGGAGCGGGGCCTCCCTGTTTGTGTGTACACAGGGGCAGATGGTGCTGAGCATCCCCCCCCCGCCCGCCCCAAGATGAAGCCAGCCCTTCATGCTGCCCCATTGCACTGCCTGGGGCTGCCCCAAGGGTGGTGGGTGCGGGTGGGTGATGGAGGAGGAGGATTTGGTGCCTTTCCAGGTGGGATGGCAGCCGGACCGCTGAGGGAATGGCTCCGAAATAGAGCGCCCGGGAAGGAATGAGTCACCCCGGGCTGGAAATAAACGTGGCCAGGGGCACAGGGGAATTGTGGCAGCGCCTGGCCCGTGTTTTGGTTGGGAAAGGGGGATTGCTCGTGGTACCTGTTCCCAAGGGGCTGAACCCGCAGCTCTTTGTGGGGGGGAAAGCATCAAGGAAAGGTTAAAAACAAGAGGCAGGAGGCAGGCGTTCTCTATGGTTTATCCCAAGCTGTATATACAGAGACAAGCGACGGCTGAGGGTCGGGGAAGGGAACCTCCCTCCTGGCAGGGCTCTTGGCACGCCGGATCTTCCCCATCAACCCGTTTGCCAGCTAAAAGTCACCGGAGCCGGGAATCCCATCCGGAGTTTCTCCGCTGGGTGACGGGGTGCACCCCTCCACGCCAACCGCTCAGGTCTGAGCCCGTTCCCCACCTCCTTCCTAAACCACCCAAATAACGACTGAGGGAGGTGATGGGGGGGGGGGGAAAGGACCCCCCCCCAGCCCCTCAGATCTTGATCTCAGTCCGGAAGGTTTGCTGGACGTGGTCGGGATGCTTGGGCTGGCGCTGGGCACGGATGGTCAATGTGCCATCGTCCCCCAGCGAGGACGACACCGACGTGGGGTCCACGTCCTCGGGCAGCTGGCATTTGTGGGTGAAGGTGTTCATGACCGTGCCATCCGCAGCCAGCTGGGGAGGGGGAAATGGGTGAAAAAGGGGTGATTTGGGGGCACTCGTTGTTCCCCGCCCTGGGGTGAGGCATGGGGCACGCCTTGTGTGTGGTGATAATATTTGTCTCCCCGAGGGATGTGAGTGGCAACAAAGCAGGGGACAAAGGTGCTGGGTTTGGTTGCCACCCCCCCATGGATGGGTGATTGCGAGGCTTGAATTTGTTGGGTCTTGTGGGCTTTGCTCCCGTGAAACGGGGGGCAAAAAGACGAGGAAAAGGTGACTTAAGGAAGTTGGGTGAGGATTTTGGGGTCCCCTACGCTTTGGGGGTGAGCGGGGAAGGGAGGAAGCACCCACCTTCTCAGCGTGCACCTCGATCTGGTTGTTGGACGTGGTGACGATGATGTCCTCGGGGGCGAAGTCGCTCACATCCACTGTGAACTGATAGGTGTTACCCAGGGTCTTCACGGTGCCGGTGCTGCCGGGCCGAGCTGCCGAGGAGCAGAGGTGCGGGTCAGTGATGGTGTCCCCCCAAACCCCTCTTGTATCCCACCCACACTTCACCAGGGGTGCCCCCCCCATCTAAACCCTCACCTGGGAACCCCAAAGTCTCCCCACGGGGCCGCACAAAGCTCCCAAAAAGCTCCATGGAGCCTGCGGGCGATGCCGAGCGGTGGAAGCCGCGCTGCGAGAGGAAAGCAGGCGCCGATTGCACGTTCATCCACTGCTTCCCCGCACCCCCTGAGCCCCAGCTCCCGCTGGGGAGGAAGAGCAGGGCCCCTCTTCCTCGCCCTCCTCCTGCTGAAGGCGAAATGGGGCCGGTTGTTTCGTAGAGGGGGGGGGTGGTTTGAGGAGCTTTTAAAGCCTGGTTCCAGCGCCCGGCCGCCTGCCAGGGCTCTCGTAAAAGGGGCTAAATTTAGGTCTTGCGCTGGAGAGGGTGGAAATTTTTCCCTGTGCGTCCTCCCCCCTCAGCACCATGGAATGCCGTGCCCGCCTGCTGCCTGCTATTAGCGAATAATAATGAGAATTAATGGCATTACTCATTAAAGAGCCCCCCCGGGAAGGACTGGAAGGGATGGGGATGGATGGGGGCAGAACCCGGCTCACTCCAGCCCGAGCGGGTCCGCGGTGCCTTCCTCAAGGTCGTTTCTAATGAGGTTGTTTGCAACCTCAGTGCTGCAGCGGAGGCCGAGGAGGGAGGAGCGGTGAGGGGGTGCTGGCAAAAAGAGGGGGGGGATTGGTTCTGTCCCCCCAAAAGCTCCCCAGGATGAAGCCCCCTGTCCCTGGGGAGGAAGAAGAGGAAGAGGAGAGAGTGTTGGTGTCGGAGCAGAGCTGGAGACCCTGCCCCAAAGCCCGCAGGAGGCTCCGAGGTGAGATCCTAACCCAAAGCAGAGGGACTTCGGGGGTGTTTTGGGGGGCTCAGCACCCTGTTTTCACACGCACACACACACATGCTCCACAGGGTGCCTGGAGTGGGTGAAGAGGCAGCTTTTCCGTGTTGGGGAGGACTGGTATTTCCTCTTCATCCTGGGGGTCCTCATGGCCACCATCAGCTTCATGATGGACCTTGTCGTCTTCAGGCTCTATGAGGGTAAATGAGGGGCTTCACCTGCCCGTTTGGGGGCTCACCAAGGATGAGAGGGACTCTTTGTTGGGGTGAGGTGGTAGCATCTCCCCTCCTGATGCCTCTTCTCCAGCCCACCGGTGGCTTTACCAAGAGGTCGGTGATGTTTTGGTGCTCAAGTACCTCTCGTGGACCATATACCCGATAGCGATGACCACCTTCTCCACTGGCTTCTCCCAGAGCATCACCCCTCACTCTGGAGGTGAGTCGGCTGCATCCCAACCTTCCCCACTCCCCAGAACTCCTCTCTGATAGCAGGGAGAGCCCCAAAACCATGGATACCCCCCCTGTCAGGCTCTGGCATCCCGGAGCTGAAGACCATCCTGACTGGGGTGGTGCTGGAGGACTACTTGGCCATCAAGAACTTCGGAGCCAAGGTGGTGGGGTTGACCTGCACCCTGGCTGCCGGCAGCACCGTTTTCCTTGGCAAAGTGGTGAGTGATCCCTCGGAAATGGCTCCCAGCATCCCTATGTACTGGGATGGCAGTGGAAGGTCACCCAGTGTCGTGTCCCCCCCCTCTAATTCTCCTTCCTGGCACCCAGGGGCCCTTTGTGCACCTCTCCACCATGGTTGCAGTGTACCTGGGGAAGATGAGGACCTCGGTCATGAAGGAGTATGAGGTGGGGGTGACACCCCCAAAAAATTAAAGGGGGGGTATTCCCCTCCTAAAATAGGGATTTTAAATTATCTCATTGGGATAACCCTAATAATAATTTAGGGATTATATTGTATTAGTAGATATCCCTAATTGTATTATTAGATATCCCTATACATAGGGATATTAAATTATTTACAATAGTGGGATTTTAACTTCCCCCCCCAAAACCCGGAGTTGTGAGCATCCCCCTGCCCTGCAGAACAAGTTCAAGCAGAACGAGATGCTGGTGGCAGCGCAAGCTGTTGGCGTAGCCACAGTGTTCGGAGCACCCATTAGCGGTGAGAGCATCCCTACCCCATCCCATCCCGCCCCGGGGACCCCCAAACCCTAGTATAGGTGATAGAAAAACCCTATAGGGCGCCATAGAAAAAGTACCGCAAGGGAAAGATGAAATAGCAATGAAAAGCCAAGCTTCATATAGCAAAGATAAACCCTTGTACCTCTTGCATCATGATTTAGCAAGAACTAACCAGACAAAGAGCACTTAAGCCTGCCACCCCGAAACCTAAGCGAGCTACTTACAAGCAGTCACCAAGGACAAACCCGTCTCTGTTGCAAAAGAGTGGGGTGACTTGTTAGTAGAGGTGAAAAGCCAACCGAGCTGGGTGATAGCTGGTTGCCTGATAAAACGAATTTAAGTTCTCCCTTAGTCCATCCCACCAGACAAATAACCCAAAATCCCCATGTAAAGACTAAGAACTACTCAAAGGAGGTACAACCCCTTTGACATAAGGACACAACCTCCATCAGCGGATAACCCCTACCCCCCAACACTCGTGGGCCTTAAAGCAGCCACCCAAAGAGAATGCGTCAAAGCTCCATAACCCAAAAATCCAAAAATAACGCGACTCCCTACACCCCATAAATCAGGCCAACCTATAACTATAGATGAACTAATGCTAGAACGAGTAACCAGGATACTATAACCCCCTAAAGCGCCAATCTACCCACCATTACACAGCACAACCACAATACTACCCCCCCCCCTCAAACCAAACATTGAATGCACCCTGTCAACCCAACCCAGGAGCGCTATACCCAGGGCGATTTAAATCTGCAAAAGGAACTCGGCAAACCCAGGGCCCGACTGTTTACCAAAAACATAGCCTTCAGCCAAACAAGTATTGAAGGTGACGCCTGCCCAGTGACCTAACGTTCAACGGCCGCGGTATCCTAACCGTGCAAAGGTAGCGCAATCAATTGTCCCATAAATCGAGACCTGTATGAATGGCTAAACGAGGCCCTAACTGTCTCCTGCAGATAATCAGTGAAACTGATCTCCCCGTGCAAAAGCAGGGATGAACACATAAGACGAGAAGACCCTGTGGAACTTCAAAATCATTAACCACCACACACCCCAACATACCCCCACCGGGCCC